CATACAAGCCACGGAGCGAAGTGCCCGAAAGTGTGCAAAGTGTCGGTGCCGTCCCGTCCTAATGCGCGTGATCCACCCAAAAACTGACGTCCGTCCGGTCCCGTCCGTCTGTGCCGTACAGTGCGCGCGTAGCTTCAGAGGGGAGTCATGGCCGAGAGATCGCAGACCAGAATAGATCTGCAAACAAAACTCAAAATTCAGGAGGAAGTAAAGCGTTGTGTGCTGAACAAAAGTAAAATTGCTGAAAAGCATGGACTTTCCAAATCTACCTTATTCACGATACTTAAAGATCACGACAAAATTCTTAGTCCTGCTGCATCTGATTCCGGGAACAAACCTAAACGACTTCGGAATGCCAAGTGAAATATGACTTTACTTCAAGAATTGTTCAACCATATGCGCTATTCCAATGTACCTTTAAGTGGACATATCATTCAGTCAAAAGCAAACGAAATTGCAAAAAATTATACATACAAGATTTCAGTGGTTACGCTAGTTGGCTCGGCAAGTAAATAAAATTGATGAAAAAGCAAACAACTGGTTGCATGAATTTGAGCAAGTGAGATACAAGTATGCCTAGTGTGATGTCTACAACACGGACGGTACTGAAATGTTTTACAATCTTTTCCCAAACCGTACCCTTGTCATTAAAGGTAACAAGTGCCGTGGTGGAGTACGCAATAAACAACTTTAAATAGTTGTCCTTGTATGTAAGGCAGACGGAAGTAATAAGCATCGTACTTGAGTGATCGGTAGACCGAGAAACAGAGTTGTTTTAAGACCATAAACGATACTTTTCCTTGCATATACTCCTACCATAAGAAAGCTTGGATCAACAGCTTATCATGTCGTAAGTGGCATCTTTGTTTCAACAGTCGAATGGTGGCTCAGAATAGGCATGTTCTTCTGACATTAGACAGGTATATATCCCACAACTTACATGATCTGAACTTTATCAATTCCAAGTTTCACTTTTCCCCCAAAATGCATCAAGTCACCTCCAACCTTTTTATCAAAGCATTATGTCTCTCATAAACAGGCTTACCGTAAACGACTTGAGAGAGCTGCATTTTACGCTGCTGAAGAAAAGATGGCTGCGCCAACTTAGAGTGTGCTTGATTCAATAAAAGCTATCGCCGCATTCTGGGAATCTGTGTCGTTACAACACATACTTAAACTGTTTCAGCAGTGCCTATTGACATACAGACACTAATCCTGTTGACGAGTTAGATGGAATGATGAACCTGACAAATGGAATATTCAAAAATGTTTCGAACCCTGGAGTTAGTTTTGAGGAGTTTGTTCGTGTAGATGATGTGCGGTGAGTGCTTCAGTGGATTCTGATGTTCAAGCAGTAGTGTCTGAGGTGCAAGAAATATCAACAGAAAAAGAAGATGTCAATTCGCCTACTCGCCAGGAAGTGTCACTCGCCTTGACTCTTTGGAACGGTTTGTTGCGACAACCGTTTCGTCCGCTAGATTTACAGAAACCATGAATACAGTTAGGCGTGAAGTTACCAGGAATTTTGTTTCTGTCTGCGAAGGCACATTAAATACACTAATCATGCAGACACATGGAATTATCTGTATGTACAGTTTTGCGTTACAGTACAGTAATTACAGTGTGCATTGTCTGTGCTATTGTCACAAACAGGTATAAAATTGATGTCCTGTACCTGGTAATACTGTCGATCTAGGAGAATGTCATAGACTATAGTATTTCTCTGACGAAAACACAAAATATTAAACTGTAGTACATATGTCTCTAGATACAATACTTTAAATAATTAGTATACAGAAAAAACTATTTTCCAAAAATAAAATTTGACGCACCTGTTTCTACGAATTTTTTGAACACGAACTCTTTGATTTTTCGATCCTTTAGGATTCGTTTAACGAGGGTTTACTGTAATTACGTTTCAGTGTTCAAGTATGTTCATAAAAAGAATAAATAGTGCGTATTCTCACTTGAATTGCTGAGCCTTGTCGCTTCGATTGACCACTGATGACAGCATTGTTTGTGTTGTTGCATGGGCCGTGTGCTCAACTTCTGTTTGCGTGCTGGTGTGAATGCTGGAAAAGAAAATTTTATGCTCAAGACCATTGATTTACTCAAAAAGGTTTTTCTTGGAAAGAAATAATCAAAGTCGTTGTCATTGCCAACAATATTGTCATTAACATTGTTGGCAATGACAACACATTTAATTATTTCAATTAAATGACAACGACAATTCACCGGAAACTAATATTTTCATGGAAATACTAGTACATAAGTGATAAAAGAATAATCATTTACATCACTATGGTAGTAATCGCGTTTGCTTCTATGTGGTACCCGGACTTAATTCTAACTCGGGTGTTCCCAACAGGGCCAGTTCAGAACCCCTGTGGTCAGTGATGATTAAGAGGTCGATTGGGGGTCAACAGTCGAATATGAACCGGCTCCTTGCCAAGATAATGAAGATGCCATTGATTACAAAAAAATATTAATGATATTAATTAAATATTAACTGATAAATAGCAAGAAGACCTATTAAGATACATTACAAATTCACTACTCTTCTTTTGTATCCTTCATACATTCTTAGCAGTTACGATGTTTAGAAATCTAAAAAAATTATAACTATGAATTCACAATGATCTCTATTGCGCAAGAATGTACTCTCCGCAACATGCACTGGAGAAAAGTAATGACCAGTTTTTTTAAACCTTCCAATGTTTTGTAACCATTGCACATTAGTTAAGGTTAGAAATTCAGCTACTCAAAAGTGGAAGCGTCGTCTATTATTGAAAAAAACGAAATATTTACGAGAAAATTGGTGTACGAAATTCTTATATTTACGGCCCTTATGTTCAATTCTTTGTGCCATGATTATGAATGCTGTGTTTTATTGAGGAAATAAGGATGTCTATGAAGCCAGCTTCGGTAGCCGAACTTCTTAACCAAGTTCTGTGAAGTAACGAAAGCTAATCAGCCCACGCGCCGCGGGTCCCTGGATGGCTGGCCGTCTGGGCACCCCGGATACAATTGGCACTGAGTCCCCAGTCTCTGTGGATAAAGGGCATTAACTTACGACTAGATTTGTCGTATGACTCATGTTCACGGCCACTTCACGTTCAACGCCAAAATAATCTCGGAATGTTGTACCACGCAGGCAAGCAAGTGGAAGAAAACAGTTCGTTTAAAAGGGGTCGACGATGGAAAAAGGTTGAAAATCCTTGATCTTACCTGTTGGTGATTTTCGGCTTGCGAGAGATCTTGGCAGGGCGCTTCGCTGGCTTCGATGGTGCGGCGGGCGCCAGACTGGTGGTGGCCGTGGACGTGGACAGGTGGCTGCCCGTTTCGTACTCTGTTATCAAGCTCCTGTTCCAGGCAAAGACAGCGCACGTGCATTGGAATATGGAGTTTAAGCATGGTGGACAGAGATTTATTTATTAATTTATTTATTTATGTTTTTATTTATTTACGTAAAAAACAGTTAAACACTGTGTGTGACATGCTATGGGGAGAAGTTAATTTGAAGTTACATTTATGTCTAGAAGCAAAATAAGGGCCTAACTCAGCATTTCTCAAGGATCAGGGGAGTACTGAAAACCTGAACGAGATGGAGCTCATTGACCCAGAAGCTGAAGTACAATACTTGTTACACGATCTTTAGAATTATATAATCCAAAGGATAAATAATACACTAAATAATGTTGTTAAAATTAATATTACTTTCCTTTTGGATGCTCGGTATAGTCTAATTGTATAGAAACAGTTGTGCAGCAGAAAAGATTTTACTTAGGACTTAAACTTTTGTATCTAATTTAATTGTTTAATGTCATCTGGCGTGGTATTGTAAAGATGTAAAAGAGATCGGTGAGCTAATGCGCATCTTATCAGCCATCAACCAATGAGATTTTCGGTTTGCGTCACGATATTAGCGTGAATTTTAAATGCAACCATATATCAAAATTATCTCTTTATTACAATTCATTGCAACAGATGTACGAAGAATTTCTTTTAAATACAGTGAGGCATCGATTATCCGAACGTCAGTCATCCGAAACGTCAAATATCTTAACTCATTCTTTCTCTGAACACTTTTTTTTAAATTATTTACCGTATGCTATACGTATTAATTTTCTTTGGTAATACTGATTATTGGGAATGATTCCCGATATGGTTTACAGTGATAAAATATTAAGGAGATAGTCAATCATCTGACGTCAGTAAACTTTGACAGACAACAGATCTTTAACCAGGAACCGACCGATTCTACGGACAATCAAACGGACGAAGATGAAATTGACGGCTGTCTTGATGTAGGAGCGTTTGCATGAAAGGGTTACATGCATCCCACACGGCAGTATTCAGAAAACTGATTTCACATTACTCTCTGTGCTAATAGAGACAATCAAATAACCATCTCTTGTTCTGACCGGGAGGTCCTAGTCCCGACGGTGGCAAGATTTTCGACACTAGCTTATCAGCTAGGTCGAATTCAGTTGTTGTATGGAGGGGAGTTCTAGGGGCCGGCTGCTCTGATTATTAGTTTTACGTTATTTCTCCGATCAACTCTAGGCGAATGCCAGAAAAGTATCCTAACAAACAGGCCATGCACCGCGCGCGATCTTTCCTACCTCTTCCCTGTCCTATCCTCCTTTACACACACACACTTACACTAACATGCACTACACAAGCACACAAGCCAGGAAACCGGTCGGGTATTTAGGGATTATCCCAGCGGGGGCGGTGCCCTGCTGGTGGGAGATACCTGGTTGGGGAAAACCCCGCTTAGCAACGGTAGGTCGGCGCCGGATCTCGCCATACAGAGGAAAATGTCACCGCACCCTACGAGGAAAAACTTGCACTACACTTATGGGACTAATGACCCTGGTAGTTGACGTGCCCGGAATCACTAAAACAATCAATCAATTCAACATTCTTCCTATTGGAAAACTATGAGTCATCTCTTCGCTTATTTCGTTTAGCGAAAGAAAATGGAGTCATCTCGTTCACATGTCGTCCAGCGCGGTAAAACGTTCCAGCCTCTGGATCTCCAATCTTTCAAAGCTCATTACGATGCAGCTGTAAATTCCTGGATTATCAACCATCCAGAAACACACTTTCTGACAATTTGGTAAGCTTGATAGGGCAGCAAAAAGTGCCTTCCTGAGATAACGCCATTAAACATAGCTTCGAGGTTTCGTAAGACTCGAATAAGTCGTTGGAGAAAAATATATTTCCAGATGGTGATTTCCTACCCAGTAGTACCGCAGCAGACCATCGAGTCACTGACTACGAGAATAAGCAAACGACAATTGTTGAAAATGGAGCTCATATGCCAGAGAAATGGAAATTCTAAATGTGAGTAAGTTTTAAGAAGCATTGTTGGCGTAATCGAGTATGATCCATCACACGGAGACTCTCGATGTTCTAAAATTTCTACTGAAAATAGAAATGAATGTTGTTGGATAATACAACTTCTCGAATATAATTATAACATTGTATATTATAATATAAATATTCTGAAATATCTAAGAACTTACATCATTTTCAGCTTGAAGATGAACAAAACTCGAAACATATCTATTGTTAAGGTTTTAATTACTAGAATTATTAAAATGAGAGCTATTTGAAGCTATCTTGTTTTAATATCACAAACGTTTTGAAATACTTTAGACTTTTTGTGTACATCATTATTCTATATGCATCCTGAATTTATTTCCAACAATTAATAGTAACATAGACTAAGAGACCGGGGGTGTCTGTGGGTGGTGCAAGCACATGTAATTTTTTCTGTAATTTGTTTTTAACAAAAGTCTATTAAATTGTTTCAAAGTTTATCCTCTTCAGATTTTTCTGATTAAATTCTTTAATCAAGTAAAGTTATCTCTTTTTCTCATAACATCACGAAATCCCCCTTACATTCTCCTTCTTGCTCCGATAACGCCTTAGCTTTACGTTTAGGTCAAAACCAGGTAAGAGAGTGTTTTGCTTCTGTAGCGTCGCCGCCGAACCGTTGAGTACTCGGGCAAGTCGATCAATGGATTCTGAGTGTCCTGTCACGGCGGAACCGGTTTAAAATATATAATTGAAAAATCTTGAAATACTTGACGCTAAATAACTGCAAATAGGGGAGACAAAAACATATTGTATTCCATGCCTAGTTTCTCCATCACACTGGCCAGTATTATACTTAACAATTTAAAATTCTTAATTTCACCGTTATTGCCGATAAGCAACTCTTCTCGATTTTTGCCCCTGAATATTTCAGAACGTGGTTACACAGCAGCTAAGAATGTTTAAAATCATTCAACAAATTATAATTATGTATTAGCAACGATATTTTATTACAAAAGAAAATACTCCCAGCAATATGTAATGTCAAAATGTTCTGGGCAGAAAAAAACATCTCCACGTTTTGTAACCATACCTCAACAATGAAGATTCGAAACTGAGCTACTCAGCAGCGGAAGTGTCTTCAATTATTGAAAACGTAGATATTTCTTAAAAATATTTGTGTACGAAATAGTCAACGAAGACATTTATATTGACAATTCTTTTTTTCCTTTGATTATGTATGATTTGTTGCAGAGAATAACGTAGGGGGGGTCGATGGAGCCAACGATTCTTGTAAAAGGGGTCGAAGAACAAAACAGTTTGGGAATCCCTGCTCTATAGGCTCTAGAACATTGTAACATTTATTCTGAGGCATTCGAAACGTTGAGATTGCCGGGTTTGCGCACCTGGAGGAGCTGGCGCTCATGGTGACGAGCGTGGTGGAGCAGGCGCTGGCCGCGCGGGAGGTCGCCTGCTCGGCCTCTGTGGTGGTGGAGGAGGTGTAGGAGGCACCCTCCTGGTATCTGCGGAGCATGGGCAGCGACGGGCGGCGGTTGACCTTGGAGCTCGACTTGGCACCCTTCGGGTGCTTTGCCGCCAGCGATGTGTCCGAGACGATCGTCTCCGCAGACTGCGAGTGGAAGAGCGGAATGCACAGGTGTGTCAGAATAAATGTTACAAACTTCTAGGGAATGTAAAAGTTCAAAGGTGATCACATATTGCCAATGAAAATCTGGTGGGAAAATGTCATGTAATGAATATGTATGAAGCATTTGCCCCTGATTGTTAAGCAACCTTTAGACACTGGAGTTCGTCTGGTATACCAAATATCCCTCACGACGTGAAAAGCGCGCGACCTGCAAAACACCAGTTCATGATGAATTGTTTACCAAACAGGGGAAGTGTCAGTGGTGGAACTGTTAAATGATTTTTTCCTCAGGTTGATGAAAAATGTGATAATCTTCAACCATCCACTGTTGTAGAAATTCGTGACATTTGTTCTGGGAGACAGCACAATGAACTTTCCTGAAATGAAATGAATGATGTACCTGCATTGTAAAAAAAGGTGAAAATATTTTAAACTGGCTGAGAAACAAAGGAACTGGAGGAAGGAAAAATTGTGGAGTGATGCAACCTTCAGTGATGCTTAAGCGTTTTAGAAGTTGTCAACGAAATCAATCGCTGGCGTAGGCAGTCTAGTAGAATTGAGAAATTAGGCTAAGAGGACAAAACTGCCAACTACTGAAGGCCATGTCCATTTGCTACACAATTGTGAATTCACGCTCCTACCTTCGTTCGTTTGCAACAGCGTCACATGCACATCACTTCGACACTTAATGTAAACCAGCATCAGTTGAAAGTACAATACGCCACGAAACATAATTGTCATTAGAAAGAGCCGTGCGGTTCGTGTTTCTTTAAAAAACAGTTTATTTTACATCGTTACATTTATTACATTTCTACTCTTACGACGTGATCTGTTACGTGTGTCCTCACGTTACGAGAGTGATTAACGAAAACAAACGTTTTATGAAAGGTGCATGACTAAACACGGCGAAGAGATACTTTTCTGAAGTACACATGACATTGACTAGTTCAGATTGGTCCTATTTAAGTCTTACTTAACAACACTTCACAAGAGGGTGGCCCACTTGCGCCAGGGTCCAGCATTTCTGGACACGAGTCGCTCGGTCAGTGTTTCGGCGCGATCGGCTCTAGTCTTGTGAAATGTGAGAGGCATACGGGCCATCATAGTGTTTAACTACGGGCACTCTGACCTCACGTCTTGTATTTGAACACTGCTGCTCTACACGAAGGAGTATGGGGGAAAATAGTGGTAACCCTCATTCCTAAATTTAGAATAAAGATCTTGGAAAGTTTCCAAACAACAAACATTAGGATCAAAACGCTGTACTCATATAACTCAGATATGTAGGTAGAAATCAGTAAGAACTGTAAAGAAAAATTACAAATGCACATCTGTTTATAGTAATGAAGTAACCTGAGTTTGTCCATCCGTCCGCCCGTCAGGGTTTGACAATTTGTTGCATTAATCAATACAAATGCAATGTCATTTGACGGGTTTAATCTTCTGAAAGAAGGGGACGAATCAATGATTTGCAAATCCGTTCAGAAGAGTCAAGAGAAAACTGTCTCTGACAACTGTATTTTTGCGATTTTTAAGGTCACTTCTTTACGTAACCGTTTTTGGAGTGACATGCGGTACCTAAAGATGTGATCAATAGCTCATTCGATTCCTCTTGATAAGACAAACTATTGGCACAATTCTTGGGCGGTTTTTTCAAGGATATTGTGAAAGAATTCTGTAAAATACGTGTATTTAATAGTTTTGTAGCATAGAGTGTTGTGTCAACTGTATGGTGTCATAGAATCGTGTAAAATATATTGTCGGGGAGACTAACAAGCACAGAGAGATGGAAGAATGAAGTATGTTAAAAAAAGAGAGTAAAATTTAATGATGTCAGAAAATATACAATGATAATGAAGTAGGTATTAATTAATGATACCAAAAGGAGGTAGCATGCAGAATCTCAGCAAGATAATTACAATTGATAATTGTAATAACAAGATTGCACTGCAACTACAAGTGCAATGGTGTATTTTTATACTCTTTTTCTGGTATTTACATGAATTGTTAAGACGTAATTCACCTTATTGGCGATAATTGCAATGTGGGTATAACTTGGGTTCAACAGTCAGATACGCGTGTTAGGGCGAACCTGTCCTTATAACCTGTCCTTATAACCTGATCTGTTACCTTGGGCGTCCAGGTAGCAGTGGTGCAAAGCCCTTGCAAAGCAAAACAAAAACCTATCCACCAGAGCTTCCACCTTACGCTAGTGTGTTAGTACACCCAAGGAGCGTTGCGTGCGGTCACCTTGGGCGTGCAGGGGATGGTGGAGCAAAGCACTTGCAATGCAAAAATAAAGCCTACCCACCAGAGCTTCCATCTTAAGCTAGTGTGTTAGTCCAGGCAAGGAGCGTCGCGTGCGGTCACCTTGGGCGTGCAGGTGGCGGTGGTGGTGGCGGTGGTGGTGGTGGTGGTGGTGGTTGGTGTGGTGTGTCGGTGGGGTGTCGGCGGCGGGGCGCTGGCGTGCGCGGGCGGGCGGCGGCCGCGGCGCGCGCGGTGCCGCCGCGGTGGGCGGCGGCCTGCGCCAGCCGCAGGGAGGAGCGCCCGCCCCCAGCGCCGCCGAGGTGCCGCCTCAGCAGCGCGTTGGCGCTGCCCACTCGCTCCAGTCCACGCGCCCGAAGCAGTCGTCCGAGCCAGCATCGCGTCACCGACCTACCCGCGACGAGGATGAGGCGGCGCGAGCGAACGGCGAGGAGATCCCTGTCCGTCCGATTTGATTGGCCCATTAACTACTACGATCTCTGATCCCGAAAGTGTCGGTACTATATACTGGGTGGTGGCGGTATTTTTCCCTCTAGGATCGGCCTGAATTTAGCTTCATCCACCATTTGCTTCACTTTCTGACAGAACTCTGACCCAAAGCTTCTAGGATTCGATCCCATCGATGGCGGATTTTCAACACTAGCTAGGTGTCTGGGTCCAATTCTGTTACTGCTCGTGGGAAAATTTTGGCGGCGTTTCTCCGATCGGGGAAGTTTACGGTGGTTTTCTCCTAACCATAACCATACTTCTACCACGAGAAGCCGGAGTAAACACTATCAAAAAGACACGGACTGCGCTAAATCTCTTCCTTCGTTCCTAGCCAATTTCTGATCATTCTCGCTAGAATACTCCTCAGAATGCGGCCTAGCTTGCAGAAAGAAGATCCTCGAAATATTTTCACCGTCGGGATTCAAGTCACCTAGGACCTCCATGCCAGAGGCATAGCAGTGTCAGCAATTGATGCACTGAGCCACCTCTCCCAGTGTACGCAATTCGTGTTGTAGATATGGCACCCGTGCGCGACCGCGCGGCGGCTGCCCGCTCACCCCTCGACGGTCGTGATGGAGGTGTCGCCGAGGGCGGTGGTCGTGCAGACGAGCTCGCTCTTGGTGGAGGTGGAGGCGCTGCGCGAAGTAGAGCGACGCGGCGTCGACGCGCGCCTTGGCGGCGGCCAGGCGGCGCAGCGTCCGACGTGAGGCGCGCGGGCGAGGCGCGCGCCGGGCGGCGAGCGCCGGTGCCCAAGGAAGCAGCGCGCGCGGTGCGCCAGCGGCGCGGCCAGCGCGTCAGCGGCGGCCAGCGACGCGCCCCGCGCCGCCGCCGCCGCGCACACCGCCGCCCCCTTCGCCGACCCCGCCTGCGCCGCCTGCCCGCCCACGCCGCGCGTCAATTAACCCTTTACTGCCCTGGAGTCCCCCGACCGAAATATACCTCCTTAAAATCGAATGGAATCGAATGGAATCGAATTGAATCGAATCGAATCGAATTTAATCGAATTGAATCGAATTGAATCGAATACAATCGAATCCAATTGAATAGAATTGAATTGAATCGAATCGAATCGAATCGAATCGAATCGAATTGAATTGAATTGAATTGAATTGAATTGAATTGAATTGAATTGAATTGAATTGAATTGAATCGAATTGAATCGAATTGAATTGAATCGAATCGAATCGAATTGAATTCGCTACGCTCCTTTACACTACCGGCGGCAGCGCAGAGCCCTTCGCCAACCCCGCCTGCCCGCCCACGCCGCGCGCAAATTAACCCTTTACGTGAAGAAACCTAGGCTATGAGGCATGCTCTTCTATGAGGCCCGCTCCTCCGTCTGACCACGCAAATTTTGCTGCGCTCCTTGCACCTACTAGCGGAGAAAGGAGGCATCACTGGGCGACGAAACAGGCGATTTGAATTTAGCTCAGAGGCGTCATTTAGGGTCTTTTACATGCAGTAAATCTACTAACTGGGACAGCTGGCTTTACTTCCCCTCCGAAGGAAGGCGCACGCTCATAAAAATCCACGGCTTCGATCGAGTTTGAACCGGTTTTCGGGTTTGAACCCAAGAACGTGAGCTAAACAATAACAACCGTTACACCACTGCTAATATATAACTAATTTGTAGATAGCGCTCATGTAGCCAGTATTCTTCAGTGTCATTTTGTTATTTGTTTTGGGAGGTTGTGCAAAGATATTTAAGGTTTGTGTTTGGAATTAGAGGGTAAAGGACTCAGAATACCTCTATTACCATAAATTTTCTTCATTCCCTTGATTGATGTTTCGTGTGTATTTTCACTGTTATGATTTGTGTTACAATATAATCACAAAGCAAACTCTCCTTCCTTCAACATCCTCTGAGTCTGAACTAACTAGAAAAGCAATATTCTATATGTGTGCAAGAAATGCCAACAGAAAGACAAGGATAGTTTGCAAAAATTGCTGTAAACATACATGCTCTGATCACAGAAATTCAATCTGTGAAAATTGTTTGTAATATACTTTTTTCTTTTTATTATAAACACTGTAAACTGATTCAAAGAACAAAATTTGAAATAATTTTTTCATTGAGATAAATAGCGATGTTCTTTTTGGGGCACCTGAGGATCCCGCCAGAGCTTAAGCGTAAGTGAATTTCACCAAAGTAGTTAAGG